ACCGACAGTCTGCGCCGTTAGTGCCGGAGCTACTCCTTCACTGCTTGCTGGCAATTGCGCCTCCAGTGATGGTGGTGAATCCAAATTGACCATCACGTCCATCACCACTTCATACGGTGAGGTCGCCCCGTGATTCTGCACAACCTTTGCTGCGGTCGACATTCTCGCTTCAGACTCTCACCTTCGTTCTTTCCTGAAGTTCTGCTTGGAAAGTTGGATGTCGTTGAGGTGCCGGTTGAGTTTCCGTCAGGCTTTTGATCAATGCACCTGTAAACAAGACAAATATACCAGTATTAAGTCAAGAAAAGAGTACTATGTGAAAACCTCTAGCTGCGAACAAGACAATAAGCCTGTATTCAATGTAGAAAGTATTCTTGCCCATGAACAAGACCCGAAACTTGTATGCCAGCGATGAAATAGGAAAATTGATTGGATGTCGTTGAGATCCCGCTTGCGTTTCCGTCAGGTTTTTAATCAATGCACCTGTGCGTTTCGGTGTTACTGTGACAAGAAAGGAAATGACACTGATAGCACTGCAGTAGCTGATAAGCTGTAAAATCCAATCTTACCAATGTGTTTTGAGTTTCTTCTCGGAAGCGATCCCCTGGCACCTCCGATACGATCGATTCGATCCCAAGCAGCTTGTCTACCACTGCTAGTTATTTATTTATTGCTCTAGACGCGGCTACTTCACAAACCTTCTTATCTTCTTCTTCAATCTAGCCGAGATGAGCGCACCGTACAGCTCCACAAGAAAACAAGGTCCAACTGAAAGAACATTAGGCCTGACTGTCGTTTATGTACAGCTGCTGAAATACAGGCGAGCTTGTCCCATTGGTCACAGCCACGCTCGGCACAGGGTGTATTCCGCTTTGGAACAATCATGATGTCCAGTGGTCGCGGGGGAGTTAGACCCACTTACGTTCTCTGCTGGATTGTGCACTTCAGTATACGATGTAAATAGAATAATATTATGTAATGTTGATTACAAAATCGTCATGTGCCCTTGTGGGCTTCTTCATTGCCGCTATGGGGCTGGTAAGTGATAACGTCACAGTACCTTCGATACGCATAGCAATGATCCCACTGGGGACAAACAAAAGTAGCGTCGTCTCCACCGAACCAGTTGTCAGTGGCAACATTATAGGAATCGTGTACATTTCTTCGTTTCTTCTTTGCTGTTTTCAGCGAGTGTTTGGTTTTCTCTTTGTCCTTGATCTCGACGGTGTTGGCGTGCTTATTACCTTACTGAGGCGTCTCTTATGACTGTAGCCAGTGTCACGGAGGATTTTATTGGCGTGACGAGGTAGAACGCCGAGATCGAGCGTGAGAAACGCTCTGCATTAGTAGCTCCTGTAGAATGTCTTCTGGGATGGCGTATCCATGGTCAACAAAGCCAAGGTGCAAGAAGACAGCATAAGAGATCGTGTAAACGATGTGAACTCCAAAAGGTAAGCTCCTGAACAAGTGGATGATGACTTGTGATGATGACTATTTACGTCTTGATGCTTACTTCGGTGCTAGCGTGTTTCCCCCGGATTATTTCTATCATCATGCGTGTTCTTGGGCTGAGCGAGCACATGCACGAGTGTGCAGCTATAACCCCGTGTATCTTTGGTTACACTTTGTTCTGCAATGCATGTACCTTGTAACAGTATGTGCTTGCACTGCTTTGTGTGGCCTGCGTATTTCAGGACTATCCAGTGCATTAGACCCAGGTTGGTTTGGTTGCCGGATGATCTCTTGTTGCGTCGCTCTGTGTTTTGTATTCTTCAATTTTTGGGCTTGAGAATTGAGCTGGTGTGTGGTTCCTAATATCAAAACATCATGCTGGTGCCGTGTGTTTTGATTATCGACTGTCCGAGCAGTCGCGATTCATTACCAGAACGGTCAATACTGTAGTCTCTTGACGTGTTTGTCTTTTTGTGTTTTCGCCGGGGGAATTAGCGGTGACGTTGCACATGGAACGGCAGTGTTGCATCACTGGACGACCCTGCCTCTGCATCTGACTTCATGTCCCCAGGATCTGGTGCAGATACACCAGACAGTCACTTCCTGTAAACACGCAAACAGCAAAAGAAGAGATCCCGCAAATCAGGAAAAAACATTGTGGAAAATATCGAGTAGAACATACACCATTCAATAATCTGGAGTAATTACAGCGAGACAAACATTTCAGTGCTCTCTCTCTCTCTCACTCTCTCTCTCCATTCTTCCAAAATACCCTGTAACAATTCCCTAGAATTATTTCATTTCAATATATTCTCAGGACATCATTCTGAACATAATAACGTCTTCCATGGGTCTTCAATCACCACGGAGAGCGAGAATATATCTAAGTCATGCAGTTTACGGGAGGTGCGAGCTGTCACGGATATCCCACTCACCCCCACCGTGAGGCGCTGCATCGGCCGCTTGGGAGGGCCGGGTTCCACTGCGGCTCCGGTGCACGTCTTTCGCGGTTTGAAACGTCATCACCCACCGCGACGACAACCGCCTGAGTTGGGATGTACACGTCAGCGCCATAGTGACCAAAGTTGCGAGGAAGATAGGCGACTTGTGGCGAGCCCGTCGATGCCTCTCCCGCAGCTCGCGCAAGATATATGTAAAGGCTATTGTCATGCCGGATATGATATATGGTGCCTGCAGCTTCTCTGCAGCCCTCCGCGTGACCCAACTTCAGCGTCTGCAAGCCATGCAAAACCAGGCGATCCGATGCATTGATGGCAGCCCGCCATGTTCCGCGATGCAGCCCCTCCTGGCTGCCAACTCGATTTACCGCGTCACTGAACTTTTTAAACAAAAGCTCCTGATCTTCATTTGGCGTTGTCTAAATGACTCCACTAGCCTTGCTCTAGCCCAGCTTCTCAAACCAGCAGCATGCAGCGGCAGAAGTACGCGCCATCAGGATGCCAATGGTCTGCTCAGCCAGCCAGCTCGCAGTCGGTGTGGCCAAACGAGATTCGCCACCGCAGGAGCATTTCTGTGGAACAGTTTGCCTAGAGAGGTGCGCATCGTATCCAGATTGCAAGATTTTAAGCTAGCCTGCCTTCCTTATGTATGCCTGAAATAGGTTGTGTTTCGTCAGGTTCTGACATGTTCCTTTCTTCTCAGTATTCTCGCTCGCATAGTACTCCACTTCTATGATAATATTGCCTATGCTGTTGCTCATTAGGATTTTGGCAAATTCTATCCTTCGCTTTCATATAACTGGGCCAGGAACCCGTTTGAACTTGCGAAGTAAAATAAAATCAATCAATCAATCATCAGTACCATAGTGACCGCGGCTCGAGCTGGAGCGCAGGCTCACCGCGAGCTTTTGCTACGATTCTTGATCAAAAAACTGCGAGCCGCGGTCGCGGCTCGACCTGTTTCCCGTACTTTGCATTGTTTTGTACGCGAAAATTTTAAAATTCAAATTTTAAATCGATGAGCCTCCGTGGGCACCGTGCTTCTCCCTACCGCAGTCGTTTGGATGCTGCCACTCCTGTTGTGCTGGCAGTCAACGACTGTCAGTTGCGTGACTGAGACTCTTGCGGAGTAGCCGTGTCTAGCCACACTTTTTATTATCCGATGATCTTGTTTTGTTTGCTATGACTCCGTGATTTTCTGTTGGTTGCTTTTCTGCTGTGCGAATAAATGCAGTGTCGACAGTCGGAAAGTGAAAAAAGAAAAAAATTTAATTCGTTGCGCAGGCCAGAACACGAGGATTAGTTTGATTTCGCCCGCGCAGCTGCGCAGGTAGGTAAAATGTCATCAAAAAATGTGGAGCACGACCGCTAGGCCTTGACAAATTATGCTAATATTTTCGTGAAATTATGCTTTTCGCATTGCTGAAAAAATTGCAGAATTGTGCTATTTTTATGCTAAAAGGTATCATATTATGCCGCATTGTGCTCACATATGCTGCTAATGTATAATGGTTCTGTGCAAAATAACAGGGGAATTTTTTGTAGAGGGCGTTGTACTGTAGTAGCAAAAGTTCAACGGGCTCAACGCACCGTCCGACCTAGCTACGACCGTCACTGATTGTAGTGGACTGGACATGTTATCAAGGGAGTCGTAAACCTACAACTTTCTGGTGCATCTACTTGTACTTGTAGAACATGGACAACTGTATGGAATTTGATGCGAACAGGCGGATTGTTCCACTACTACATGGTCTACCTTTGGGAAAGGGTTACATGTGACATCTCCAAAGTGATAACGAGTTGAGCAAGACGCACACAGGCTAGTACGGGTGGATCCGATTATATGTCCAGTGCAAGAATAGTAACTTTCCATATTTTTCACTCACAAAGCAACTGTTCAGTACATGGGGTAGTGGTCTACCAGAGCAATCACACTCACCACCGTAGTGGTTTTCCAGAAATGAGTAGAAGCAAAAAACTACACTCGCAGCCGCATACAATGTAATAGATAAATAGCCGAAAAACATCTAAATCCATCAAAGAACAGCCAGCAAGCGGGAGAAAAGGCCGTTAAATCAAGTGGAACAGCATGGCCAGTGGTGAGCATGGGTGACTGGGCAGCAGGGGAGCGCCTGAAAAACAATGACTCCCTACATTCCTAGCCGCGACCGCTCAACCGGGCTAGAGGAAAAACACGCCTTTCGGCCAAAAAACCTTTCTATTTCAATAATTCCTGCCCCGCTGCCAGTCGGACCCAAGAATAGAGACAGCAAGAAATGGTATGTAATGTCCAGTGTATGTAATAATCATAAGCCACACACATTGGCATAGAATATCAAGAAGAACAGCGGAAGACCCCATGAAACCAGGGTGGGCGGGCACCTTTAACTACCAAGAGGAAAAACAAAGACCACGATGGCAGGTTCAATGGAGTTGCTCAGAACAAGAGAAAACGCCGTGAAAAAAACAAAAAAGTTCACAGGCTCAGCTCTGTCGTTACATCAAGAGGATAGAACAGTAGCAATACAAGAAGTAGCAATGATACCGTATGTCCACTACACTGCATAATTTTTATTTCTATAGGAATGATTAGAAAGGACACCAGCTATTGACACCAGGAATGTAGCCATGGTTGGTCATGACCTGAACAAACTGGCTCGCATCGCTTCCAAAGTAGGCAACAATGACTTGGTGGTGGGTGATGGCATCATCATTGGTACTATCACCTGGCAAGTGAGCCTCTAGTGGCTTCCGAAGAAAGCTGTGCGGGTATTCGAGTAGCTTGGGGAAGAAGCTGGAGAAGAATGCCACATTCACAACGAACACTCCCGAGTCATACTCTCTAGCGTTGAACTTATCCATTGCTGCACCAACGTAGACTGCCAGTTCATCATGGTCGTCAAAGCGGGGTCCGGAGAAGTTTCCCCAAACTGTTCCTCTCCATGGTTTCATGTATCCATGGGACATGTGCGTTGTTTCTGCATCGATGACACACTCCTCGTCGCTTGTCTCCGCTGGGCACACGGACACATCAAAACCAGGCCTAACCAATCGCCTGGCAATACCAGCCAGTTGTCCTGGTGTGATGGATATTGGAATCAGTGCTGGTAGTGGTGGTAGTGGTGGTAGCGCGTCGTCTGGTGAACGAACAGCAATGTCACCGTTTACATGCCGTTCACACTGTTGGCCGTGTTGCTGGTCATTGACCATGCCGTGGCCATTGTTACCACTGGTACTCATCACATGTCTGCTTGGGTGATTGCGATGTCTGCTTGGATGATTGCGATGTCTGCTTGGGTGATTGCGATGTCTGCTTGGGTGATTGCGGCGCTTTGCTTGACCTGCGTGTGTCGTCCGACTGTTGGTCTCGAACATTGGTTGCTCATCGGCGTCGTCATCAGTGTAGCTGTAGGCACCATTGTAATCAACGTCACCATGCGCCTCACAGTCGATATCATGTTGCTCGGCTTGAGAGTAACCAACGGATCTGCGCTCATGTTCCCAAACTGGCTGCCTGCGCTTGTTACTGCTAGCCACCTGGGACAAAGCAGAGGAAGGTAGGCTCTCCTGCATTTCAAAGTCATCACCATGGAGATGATGCTTTGGCATGGTGTCCGCATTGCTGGTGCCGTTGCAGAGTATAGATTTGCCCTTGGCCAGGATCTCCTTTGCTGTCAATTGATGTATGTTCTCTGGTGGTGTTGATTCCAGAATTGCTTTCCAGAGCTGAAACACCTTCACTGCATTGTCTTCCAAAGAAATATTGTTGAACACTCGGAAATGCGACAAAGCCGTCGGAACTAACATGTTGGGGTCTTGACTGCGGATCATTCGTGCTATCTTGTACCCGCGAATATACTCATAGGCGTGGCTTCGTGACAGGCCAACCTCAGTTTTCGTCCACGCGTGAAAACAGCTAGTGCTTAGAAGATGCTCGTCGTATAGAATGGAATGGAGGGCTTGTCCGACGGCATAGTACGAACAATGTCTATTCTGCTTGATGATGCCTTTCCAGTGCAACAGCCTATCACCGACAGTCTGCGCCGTTAGTGCCGGAGCTACTCCTTCACTGCTTGCTGGCAATTGCGCCTCCAGTGATGGTGGTGAATCCAAATTGACCATCACGTCCATCACCACTTCATACGGTGAGGTCGCCCCGTGATTCTGCACAACCTTTGCTGCGGTCGACATTCTCGCTTCAGACTCTCACCTTCGTTCTTTCCTGAAGTTCTGCTTGGAAAGTTGGATGTCGTTGAGGTGCCGGTTGAGTTTCCGTCAGGCTTTTGATCAATGCACCTGTAAACAAGACAAATATACCAGTATTAAGTCAAGAAAAGAGTACTATGTGAAAACCTCTAGCTGCGAACAAGACAATAAGCCTGTATTCAATGTAGAAAGTATTCTTGCCCATGAACAAGACCCGAAACTTGTATGCCAGCGATGAAATAGGAAAATTGATTGGATGTCGTTGAGATCCCGCTTGCGTTTCCGTCAGGTTTTTAATCAATGCACCTGTGCGTTTCGGTGTTACTGTGACAAGAAAGGAAATGACACTGATAGCACTGCAGTAGCTGATAAGCTGTAAAATCCAATCTTACCAATGTGTTTTGAGTTTCTTCTCGGAAGCGATCCCCTGGCACCTCCGATACGATCGATTCGATCCCAAGCAGCTTGTCTACCACTGCTAGTTATTTATTTATTGCTCTAGACGCGGCTACTTCACAAACCTTCTTATCTTCTTCTTCAATCTAGCCGAGATGAGCGCACCGTACAGCTCCACAAGAAAACAAGGTCCAACTGAAAGAACATTAGGCCTGACTGTCGTTTATGTACAGCTGCTGAAATACAGGCGAGCTTGTCCCATTGGTCACAGCCACGCTCGGCACAGGGTGTATTCCGCTTTGGAACAATCATGATGTCCAGTGGTCGCGGGGGAGTTAGACCCACTTACGTTCTCTGCTGGATTGTGCACTTCAGTATACGATGTAAATAGAATAATATTATGTAATGTTGATTACAAAATCGTCATGTGCCCTTGTGGGCTTCTTCATTGCCGCTATGGGGCTGGTAAGTGATAACGTCACAGTACCTTCGATACGCATAGCAATGATCCCACTGGGGACAAACAAAAGTAGCGTCGTCTCCACCGAACCAGTTGTCAGTGGCAACATTATAGGAATCGTGTACATTTCTTCGTTTCTTCTTTGCTGTTTTCAGCGAGTGTTTGGTTTTCTCTTTGTCCTTGATCTCGACGGTGTTGGCGTGCTTATTACCTTACTGAGGCGTCTCTTATGACTGTAGCCAGTGTCACGGAGGATTTTATTGGCGTGACGAGGTAGAACGCCGAGATCGAGCGTGAGAAACGCTCTGCATTAGTAGCTCCTGTAGAATGTCTTCTGGGATGGCGTATCCATGGTCAACAAAGCCAAGGTGCAAGAAGACAGCATAAGAGATCGTGTAAACGATGTGAACTCCAAAAGGTAAGCTCCTGAACAAGTGGATGATGACTTGTGATGATGACTATTTACGTCTTGATGCTTACTTCGGTGCTAGCGTGTTTCCCCCGGATTATTTCTATCATCATGCGTGTTCTTGGGCTGAGCGAGCACATGCACGAGTGTGCAGCTATAACCCCGTGTATCTTTGGTTACACTTTGTTCTGCAATGCATGTACCTTGTAACAGTATGTGCTTGCACTGCTTTGTGTGGCCTGCGTATTTCAGGACTATCCAGTGCATTAGACCCAGGTTGGTTTGGTTGCCGGATGATCTCTTGTTGCGTCGCTCTGTGTTTTGTATTCTTCAATTTTTGGGCTTGAGAATTGAGCTGGTGTGTGGTTCCTAATATCAAAACATCATGCTGGTGCCGTGTGTTTTGATTATCGACTGTCCGAGCAGTCGCGATTCATTACCAGAACGGTCAATACTGTAGTCTCTTGACGTGTTTGTCTTTTTGTGTTTTCGCCGGGGGAATTAGCGGTGACGTTGCACATGGAACGGCAGTGTTGCATCACTGGACGACCCTGCCTCTGCATCTGACTTCATGTCCCCAGGATCTGGTGCAGATACACCAGACAGTCACTTCCTGTAAACACGCAAACAGCAAAAGAAGAGATCCCGCAAATCAGGAAAAAACATTGTGGAAAATATCGAGTAGAACATACACCATTCAATAATCTGGAGTAATTACAGCGAGACAAACATTTCAGTGCTCTCTCTCTCTCTCACTCTCTCTCTCCATTCTTCCAAAATACCCTGTAACAATTCCCTAGAATTATTTCATTTCAATATATTCTCAGGACATCATTCTGAACATAATAACTTCTTCCATGGGTCTTCAATCACCACGGAGAGCGAGAATATATCTAAGTCATGCAGTTTACGGGAGGTGCGAGCTGTCACGGATATCCCACTCACCCCCACCGTGAGGCGCTGCATCGGCCGCTTGGGAGGGCCGGGTTCCACTGCGGCTCCGGTGCACGTCTTTCGCGGTTTGAAACGTCATCACCCACCGCGACGACAACCGCCTGAGTTGGGATGTACACGTCAGCACCATAGTGACCAAAGTTGCGAGGAAGATAGGCGACTTGTGGCGAGCCCGTCGATGCCTCTCCCGCAGCTCGCGCAAGATATATGTAAAGGCTATTGTCATGCCGGATATGATATATGGTACCTGCAGCTTCTCTGCAGCCCTCCGCGTGACCCAACTTCAGCGTCTGCAAGCCATGCAAAACCAGGCGATCCGATGCATTGATGGCAGCCCGCCATGTTCCGCGATGCAGCCCCTCCTGGCTGCCAACTCGATTTACCGCGTCACTGAACTTTTTAAACAAAAGCTCCTGATCTTCATTTGGCGTTGTCTAAATGACTCCACTAGCCTTGCTCTAGCCCAGCTTCTCAAACCAGCAGCATGCAGCGGCAGAAGTACGCGCCATCAGGATGCCAATGGTCTGCTCAGCCAGCCAGCTCGCAGTCGGTGTGGCCAAACGAGATTCGCCACCGCAGGAGCATTTCTGTGGAACAGTTTGCCTAGAGAGGTGCGCATCGTATCCAGATTGCAAGATTTTAAGCTAGCCTGCCTTCCTTATGTATGCCTGAAATAGGTTGTGTTTCGTCAGGTTCTGACATGTTCCTTTCTTCTCAGTATTCTCGCTCGCATAGTACTCCACTTCTATGATAATATTGCCTATGCTGTTGCTCATTAGGATTTTGGCAAATTCTATCCTTCGCTTTCATATAACTGGGCCAGGAACCCGTTTGAACTTGCGAAGTAAAATAAAATCAATCAATCAATCATCAGTACCATAGTGACCGCGGCTCGAGCTGGAGCGCAGGCTCACCGCGAGCTTTTGCTACGATTCTTGATCAAAAAACTGCGAGCCGCGGTCGCGGCTCGACCTGTTTCCCGTACTTTGCATTGTTTTGTACGCGAAAATTTTAAAATTCAAATTTTAAATCGATGAGCCTCCGTGGGCACCGTGCTTCTCCCTACCGCAGTCGTTTGGATGCTGCCACTCCTGTTGTGCTGGCAGTCAACGACTGTCAGTTGCGTGACTGAGACTCTTGCGGAGTAGCCGTGTCTAGCCACACTTTTTATTATCCGATGATCTTGTTTTGTTTGCTATGACTCCGTGATTTTCTGTTGGTTGCTTTTCTGCTGTGCGAATAAATGCAGTGTCGACAGTCGGAAAGTGAAAAAAGAAAAAAATTTAATTCGTTGCGCAGGCCAGAACACGAGGATTAGTTTGATTTCGCCCGCGCAGCTGCGCAGGTAGGTAAAATGTCATCAAAAAATGTGGAGCACGACCGCTAGGCCTTGACAAATTATGCTAATATTTTCGTGAAATTATGCTTTTCGCATTGCTGAAAAAATTGCAGAATTGTGCTATTTTTATGCTAAAAGGTATCATATTATGCCGCATTGTGCTCACATATGCTGCTAATGTATAATGGTTCTGTGCAAAATAACAGGGGAATTTTTTGTAGAGGGCGTTGTACTGTAGTAGCAAAAGTTCAACGGGCTCAACGCACCGTCCGACCTAGCTACGACCGTCACTGATTGTAGTGGACTGGACATGTTATCAAGGGAGTCGTAAACCTACAACTTTCTGGTGCATCTACTTGTACTTGTAGAACATGGACAACTGTATGGAATTTGATGCGAACAGGCGGATTGTTCCAATTTTATGCGATTCGTATGCAATTTGCCTCAAATTATGCGATTATTCGATTTTGGTAGGAATTATGCGAAAAATTTTGCTAGCATAATCTGTCAAGGCCTAACGACCGCGGTACCGTGAATGGCCAGTGTCAGTGGAACCGCGCTGCTCCGCTGCATGCAGCCAAGTGCCGCGGAGCAGCAGCGGAGCCTCAAAACTTTCGTGAAGCGGCGCGCTGAGGCAGTGGGATCAACGGCCAGTGTTCACAACAGCAGCATCCACACAACGCAGACGGGAAAGGTGTCAGCTAGGATTTGTATAGATGCCACAGACCTGAGCCTCGTGACAACTCCGGACTTCTGGCCAAGGCCTCTATACGCCCGGCCATGGGAGTACCGAGACCGCCCGAAGCCCAATCGACAACACCCTGCCGGCGCTGCGAGAGGTGACCCTACACTGGATGGTGCTGACAGCGCTGACAGCGACAGCACGGCATCTGCTGGCACCCCGCAATGATCAGTGGAGCTCCGCCGCTCCGCTGGCTGGTGACCAATGCATTTGGCCTCACCAACAAGCTGGGCGAGCTGCAGCATGCACTGCTCAACGATAACGTCGACATAGCGGTTATCACAGAAACGAAGTTCTGGGCCCAGACCGTAGCCTCTGAGACAATATTTCCAGGATACTCGCCTCCCATCCGACGTGACCGGGATGCATTTGGTGGCGGCATTGCTGTATGGGTGAAGTCCGGCCCCCCAGTAGTGCACCTCGACCAGATTCCCACTGATGACCACGAAGTCCTCTGGCTCGCCGTGAGTCTTTCCACGCAACAATCTGTTGTTATCGGTGCCTTGTATCGGCCTGGATCCTGTGCGGACAACGACACCTGTCTGATTGAGTATCTTGGACCTGCACTAGACGTGGCCCGCACTCACGGCACTCACATAGTGCTTTGCTCTCCGGTATGCCTACGCCATGTACATAACCCCCCCGTGTGCTCCCCAACGCATTCACGCTGCACAACTTTTCACTACTTTCACTTTAGCTCATACGTGTACATGTACATGTACATCCTTCAAAGCGGTGAACCCCTTGATAGGCGACAAGCCTCTGGGTCATCCTAATAAAGATATTATTATTATTACATAGTGCTAGCTGGGGATTTTAATGTCCATCACGAGACTTGGCTCTGCAGCAGCAAAACAACTGTAGCTGGAGAGGCCTTAGAAGAATTGTGTGCTGAGCATCAACTCCACCAGCATGTCTTGCAGCCGACTAGGGGTCTGAACACCCTGGACCTCATCCTCTCCAACATGTCCGTTCCTATCGACACCACTGTCAAAGCGCCACTTGGTCGCTCTGACCATGGGGTTGTTCTTGCCGACTTTTACCTCACGGCCCTGATGCTGAGCAAGCTACCTCCAGGACTGTCTGGCGCTACAATCAGGCAGACTGGGGGCGCCTGCGGGCCTTCTATCGCACTACTGACTGGTCCACCATTGTGACTGACGACCCTGAAGAGTCCTGCAGGAAGCTAAGTGACGTCATCTCCAGTGGCATGCAGAAATTTATCCCCGCCAAGCAGCTTGTTACCCGCCCAGCAGACCCCAAATGGTGGACTCCTGAGTGCACCACAGCATTG